AACCTTCAGCATACAAAAGTCCGAAATAGGCTCGAGCCCCACCGCGTTGAAAAACTGCTCTTCGTGCAGATCAATAAACGACAATTCCGGACAGAACGGCCTCCCGAAGTTGCGCAAGAATCACTCCTTCAAGAAGAGGATAACGAGATAGAGAGGGTTTTGCAGCGAAACCAAGTGCTAGACGATCTATCAGGGGGCTCATATCAACTACTAGAGCAACCACCGGAGCAACCACTAGAGCAACCGCCAGAGCAACCGCCAGAGCAACCGCCAGAGCAACCGCCAGAGCAACCGCCAGAGCAACCGCCAGAGCAACCGCCAGAGCAACCGCCAGAGCAACCGCCAGAGCAACCGCCAGAGCAACCGCCAGAGCAACCGCCAGAGCAACCGCCAGAGCAACCACCAGAGCAACCACCAGAGCAACTAACAGAGCAATCACCAACGTCTGCCCTGGTTTTAGCATTGAATTCAGCTTTGACTTCAGCTTCAGAATCAACAAATCCTGCCCTCATTTCTGCGTTGAAGTCGAGGCTTAACTCCTTGTTGAAGCCAACTTCGGAGCCTCCCCTTAGTCCTTCAACGAAACCCACAACAAATTCAGATTCAGCCCATCTTATGCGGACGAGGTCGAAGCGTGTATCTGAATGGCCTCAAGGAGTTCCAGATGATTCCAAGCGGCCAACTCGGCGACGGCGGGGGATAGATGACACATGATGTCTATGTCACGTGCTTTACGTTCGACTGTTTTGATTGGAAGAATGGAAGATAATCATTACCACTTTGGGACTAGCTAGATTTCAAGATTTCAAGCCCCATTTCAAATTACATTTCAAGCAGCCAAATTTCAGGAATTTCGAAATTTTGAAATTTCATTTTGACATCCCTAAAAAAAAATGGGCATGCAAACATATCAAACAACGGAGTGTCCACGGAAAAGTAGGAGATGCTGTTCGAGACCACAGACTTTACTCATCACTGCAGTGGTACCGCAGGCCACGCGCAGCCATTGCCTCGGTGTTTGAAAGCAGTTCTTCTGGCTCCAAGGCTGACGTTTTTTCGTCACGGTATGGTTCATGGATCTTTTGCACATGATGAATGAAGATAACGTTCCAGTTGTCAGACATGGAAATTTTCCAAGCAAGCTCGACCATCAAGGGGAGAAGGCAGCTCAGGAGGCATACGTAGAGAGCCCAGGGAATCTTCGTCTGCGAGGCTCGAAGACTGCGCCTTGCATTCCTTTAAAGTTACCAATCCCCAGATTACACAACTCTTCTTCCTCCATGTCACGCCGTATCTCATGTGCATGTACTCCGTGCCGTGCGGCCAAAACAAGATGTACAGGAGAAAGGCCACAGTGCCAGCGCTGCACTATGCTGCAACAAAATTGTCGTTACCCTGGGAGGAAATGGGACGAGACACAGAGGTAACTAAACAGACCCACCGAGATCGTCGAGCTCGATCACATCTCATGCTGGTGATAGGAAGCTTGAACGTATTTCTGCCGAGGCACATGATTACAAAGTTGTCTTACAGCTGTTGCGCACTAAAGTCACAGTTGAAGACGCAGACATTATATCTACCGTTCTTTCTAAGGTTCGCACCTGATCAGCACCTCAAAGAAGATGGCTAGCGTATTTCACTTTTCCCTTTCTTCCAAATATCTAACTTTGAATTCGGTTTAGCACAGCAACAACATTCCCACCGCAACGATGAACACGGGTAATTCTTCTTTAGCATCCACTGCTAAAGACGTGGAAGTTTATCACAAGGCTTCGGAATGAGAGATCCTACACTGTAGTCGCTACAGTGCACAACCGAAATGATAGTGAATATTGATTGACCTGTGAGCTGACTGTATCAACTCTCGGCTCTACCGATTATCCTCCAAATATTCCCTGATTCTCCTCCAAGTGCACTTGTCAATAAACTTTCACCTAGTAGAATAAATCTTTGCCTAGTACTGTATGGATATTGTTTGTACGCGGAAATCCGGATCACTTGTGCATCCGCAAATGATCTACTAATTACCGAGGCCAACTGGGGAAGACCTAAGCGAAAGAGGATGCTCTGATCATCCGCTGTCATTTATGCAAGGCTAACACCTGTATAGCCTTGATATGTCTCTAGAGATATCTACTCGAAATGGTATAGGCTGATTTTAGCCTGTGGTATAAGGAGGGTCCTTGATTGGCAACTCGCTGGCCGAGGGTAAAGAAGATTTTGAGCCAATTCCGCATACGTTTGTGGGGTTATAGGGAGATTGGTCACAATGAGCAAACTTTCAATGTAACCACGGCATGTCAAAAGTCAGCTTTTAACTCACCAATGAATCCATACGGAAAGAGTCTCGCATAAGGTTTTGGGACGGAGACTTTGGTTCGGTCTAAATTGGCAGTGAATGCAGTCAACTCAGGACTAACATGCCGCTCGGATCCTGATTACGATGTTCTGTGTGGAGAGATGCTGCATTAAGTAGGTCCCGATGGTCATTTGGGCCGATATCAGGCCCCTGATCTGGCCCACTTGGACCCGTTCCTCTCCCTTACCCCATGGGGAATCGGTGGCTGTGACCTCTATGTTTTCACAGGAGCTGAGAAATTTTGCCATCAAGAAACTCGCCCATCTCGTAGTCCTTGAAGTAGTTTCGAGGTCGTTCATAGCACAAGTATACAGAGTTAAGAAACTTGACACCCATTTAATTATGTAAGAGCTGCTTGATAAAGCAAGTGCAAAACTCACAACCACCCAGGGCGGGAGGAAAAGGGTCGGAAGCAGGCTTTTTCATTCAGGGGCTTTACGAGGGCCGATTTAGTCAGCTAGCTCTAGACCCTGGACACATAAGCCCTCTTATCCGACGCATGTTTATGAAGAGGCGTGCACGCGGACTAAAACTTACGATTGAAATGGTATAAGTTGCTTCTTATCTCCGTACAAGAAAAGGAATTTCCTTTCTCTCTTTTGTATCCCCCTAGGCGACTAGACTTCTACAAAACCCAATTTGGGTCCAAGGTCTTGACCCAAAACCCAACCCATATTGGGTTTGGGTCCGACTTCGAAAAACCAACCCAACCCCAAACCCAATATGGGTTTGGGTTGGGGCCCCAAGAAAACCCAATTTTGCATAAAAAAGAGGTCTTGGCATGCATAACCCTACTCACTAATCAAATTAAAATACTGTTTTTTACAGGTGTTCTGGTTTCCCTCTAAGATTCTTTCTAGTTATAGGTTCAATTAAAGGAAATTTTAGGTAATAAAGGCAGAGTAGAAGATAGAAAGACTGGTTTTCTATTAATTACAAAAGAAAAACGTTGGATTTTAGTATATTATGGTGGTAGTTCCACAAAATAGGGAAAGGGTTATGAAGAACATATAGAAATATATATTTGAATATGAAGTAGTCGGTATATTATTTAGAACATTAGTGAAAATGAAACAAAAGTTTTACATATTCACTCTAATTAAGATGATCTCTATATAGAATGAAAGCTAAATTTCTCTGTTACAATTTGTTTCTTTTTGAATAGATAAACATTATTTCTTGCGGTAGAAAATGAACAGAAAGATTTCTTCTTTCATGGAGTTGAAATATTTTTAGGGATCTTAGGGGAAATTGGGGTGGGAATTGGGTTTTCCTGGGTTTTCTTAGGGTTTATTGGGTTTTGCTGGGGTTTACCTGGGGTTTATTGGGTTTTCTTGGGGTTTTCCTGGGGTTTATTGGATTTTGCTGGGGTTTATTGGGTTTCCTTGGGGTTTCCTAGGGGTTTTCTTGGGGTTTTCTGGGTTCTGTTGGGTTAGACCCATATTAATTCTCATTACTTAGCCAATCAATAGCTATTAGACTATATTTCTTTTGTTCTAACTCCCTTTTCTATCTACCTTATACAGTGTCTAATATTGTAAGTCTTTCTCCCCCTTACCTTTTACTACCTATGGTCATCCTTAATAACCCATCATGTCTCAAAGCCAGCATTCTGACTTTCAATCGTCTATCTATAATGGAGATCTAGATAATCTCTCATACCTTACACCATCTATTCAAGCAGCAATACCTTCTGGTAGCCAAGCTATATCTGAATTTCACCACGAATTCCTTCCACCAGATCTTCCTCTTCCTCAAAATCCTCCCTCTTTTACCTGCGTCGGGCCAGATCGGAGAAAAAACTACTTCCTTTATGATATGTCGAATCATACTGAGTGGGTTGATTGGTGGTTACAAACTGATTATGGGAGCAAAAGTAAGATTCATTGGGATTCTGGCCGCCACTCTGAAATTTGGAGCAGCTTCCACCAAGTTGCTCAAATTACAGATGGGGCACCAAGTGTTATGTGCAAGCGCTGTGGGAGGGTCTTAAAACACCCTTATTCTGTTCGACCAGGCAGCGATAAGGGCTACCAGGGCACATCGACTATGGCGAAACACTTAAAAACTACAGATTGTCAAAGGGCCGCAGCAGGAAGACGGGATACTGAGATCACAGGGTTTCTCAAGAAAGGAGTAAGTTCTTAAGAGATAAGTTTTTGTTCTTAAGAGATAAGTTTTTGTGCACAAAAGATCAAACTAACACTTTAATTAACTAGCAACAAATACCAACGACCATCCCATTCTTAGAATCAGACTGGTATGATGAGATCCTACAATTTCTCACCCTTAACCGTCTCCCTTTCAGTCTTGTCGAGCACCCAACCTTCGCTAGCCTTATCCATAAGGCTCGCTCTGCACCCGTACCTCCACGAATCCCATCCGCCAATATAGTCCGCCGGCGACTAAAGGATAGGGTTACAGATCGCCAAAAGACAATCCTTCGACTCCTACAGTGGTGTCTCACAAGTATTTGACCTCGGGTACTTTGAAGTCTGACCGCCTTCGCAGACCGCCTGCTATTTTAGTATGCATAATTTCTCACCGCGTCCCACCACGCTCGCATATACAGTATTATAACGTAGATTTGACGCGTCTTGCCCCATATTAGCACCTTTAATATAATAATTACCTAGTAATTATGCCTCCCATACGTGGCAAGCGAGGTCCAGAGCTTGATTGTCTTACCAGAGCTAAAATATGTGAACTCCATGCCACTAATGGATGGGGTGCAACAACTATCAAAAAGAAGCGATTCCCGGATATTCCACGCTCTACCATTCAATATACGCTTACACAAGAGTCAAAGCGTCAAAAGCAGGAGTCATTACCGCGTCCAGGTGCTCCAAGAAAGCTCACAGAGAACGACCGTGACCATATTTATGAGACTATCCAACAAAACCCGTCAATTTTGATCCAAGACCTTCTTTCAGAGGTCGATAATAAGGTTAAACGCAACTCAATTTGGCGTCTTACGCACGAGATGGGCCTTCGAAAGTGGCGGAAGATGCAACGGCCTACTTTAACGCCTCAACATGCTGCAAAACGTCTTGTGTGGGCTCAACGATATGAGCACTTTACTTCCGAGGATTGGGCTCGAGTTTATTGGTCAGATGAGTGTACTGTTGAGCGTGGCATTGGTCAACGGCAAGAATGGACCTTTACTCGTCCAAAAAATCAGCTTTGGGAGCATCCAAAAGAAGGTCGTCAAGTTCAAATGATTCTGTTGTAGTTCAGGGGTATATCGTGTAATATTTATTCAGAGGGAAACATGAGGCTATATATACAACGAGAAGATCAAGTTGATTTCCAATCAACTTGGTTCTTCGTATACATACTTCGGGATTAATTCCGATGGTTCGGCTTGGTTCCTGACTGCACCAGCCTCATATCACAACATTCCCCCTCAGTATCGTATTGCTGGCAATGACGATACTGGATTTAAGCTGAGCAGGCAGGCCTCGGTAAAACCACTCAAAAAAACCTCCATGGGAAAAGAAAGTGGAAAGAGCGCCTGTGCTGTCATGCATGTTGCTTTGGAGTCTCTGAGGCGTCGACTCCTAGGAGACTACAAAACTTGGCAAAGGCCGTAGGTCCCAATGGCTTGGTGAGACCATCTGCGGCCTGTTCCTCAGTCGGAACATATTGAAGCCCAATCTCGCCTGTATCCAGCACGGCTCGCTGATAGTGGAATTTCACATTGAAGTGCTTCGTCCGCTTATGGAACTCGGGATTGCGAGATAATGCGATGGCGGACTGGTTGTCAGCCATGATGTTGGTGACTGTAGACCGATACAGCTGCGTTTCGGCCAGAAAGGTGCGGAGCCACTGCAGATGCAGAATGGCATTGTACTGTCCGATGTATTCCGCGTGTGTCGTAGACGTGGCCACTTCCCCCTGTCTCTTGGACGACCAGGAAACTGGCGCACCTGCAAGTTGGAACACATAGCCAGATGTTGAGTATGCACCGTCAGTGACGACGGAGCCCCCAAAGTCGGCGTCCGTGTACCCGATCAACTGCCCACTGCGGTAGGTAATGCGATGAGAGTGCGTGGCTTTGATGTAGCGAAGCAACCGCTGCAGAGCGACTTGGTGGTGCGATTGTGGCTGAGACGTGAAGCGACTCAACATGCCCAGCGCAAATGCAATATCCGGTCGCGTGCCCACCATCAGATACATTAACGATCCGATGGCAGTCGCATAACGAGCTTTTGCTTCTTCGTCCGGAGGTGCCTCGTCTAGACGATGATTCAGGATTTGCTTGGGATTCATCGGCGTAGACTTCGGCTGACAAGCCTCCATGCCAAAGTCGGAGAGCACCTTCTGGATGTACTGGCGTTGGTGAATGGAAACGGACCCATCGACGTGGTAGTCGAACTGGATCCCGAGGAACGAACGCGGGATGCCCAGATCGTTCAGTCGGAACTCTGTTTGCAAGGCCCGTTGCACTTGTTCGATTTCGTGCGTGTTTGCCGCAGCAACAAGAAAGTCATCGACATAAACACAAACGACGCAATCCGGTTTGTAGAACACACAATTGTCCGATTGGGCCATGGTGAAGCCATGAGAAGCCAGGACGCGGTGGACGCATTGGTACCAAATGCGCGGAGCCTGCTTCAGTCCGTATAGTGAGCGGCGTAGTCGGCATACGTATCCTCGCTCTTCGAAGCCTTCAGGTAACTCCATATAGATAGACGAATCGACGTCTCCATGGAGAAATGCGGTGACCGCATCGAATTGGTGGAGTTTCCACCCGCGCAACACGGCGCTGGCGACAATGCAGCGGACGGAGTCCATTCGCGACACAGCAGCAAACGTTTCGTGATAGTCGATGCCATGTTTCTGCCGGTAGCCTTTGATAACCAGTCGCGCTTTTCGCGTTCCGTTGGCCTTGGTCTTGAAGACCCATTTGCAGCCAATCACATGATCTCCGGCTGGTACGTCCTCCCGCCGAACCTTTTCCCATGTTCCGTGTTCGAGAAGAGACGCACATTCTTTCTGGATAGCGGCCCACCAGTCCAGCTGGTCTGGGCCTGACACAGCTTCGCGAAAGGTCGCCGGGTCGACTTGTCTGGCCGGTGCGGTATTCAATGCGCCTGCCGAGTACACCTTGCCAAGTGACTCTAGGAGATGCCGTGACGGTCTTCGTCTGCGACCATAGATCGAATACCCCAGATCCGATGTCAAGTCGGTTTCTTGTTGGCTTGGATTAACCACTGGAGGTGTCTCCTCTTCACGCTCAGATGGCATATTCTCTCGCGCATTCGACAAAGGTAAGGGCGACGTAGGTGGTGTCGGCAGCCCGCTGACTGAACCTGGCATTGATGGAAAGACAGGTGATGGAGGAGCGTTGTCCGGGAGGTCGTTGCCTGTTTCCCCCTCGATGAGTGGCGCCACCGGGGTCCTCTCATCGAAATCGACATCACGGGAAAAGACTGTCTTTCCTGAATGGATTTCATAGAGCTTATACTGATTCGGTTCACAATAGCCTAGCAGTCGACACTCGGATGATCTCGGTCCGAGTTTGGCTCGATGCTCCTTAGGGATCAAGACCCATGCACGGGAGCCGATCCGTCGCAGATGCAAGAGCGAGGGCGGCTTCCCATATAGAACTTCAAACGGTGTCTTCTTCTGTAGAATTGATGCTGGCGCACGCAGCTTCAGATAGACGACCGTGTCCAAGAGCTCGACCCACCACGAAGGAGAAAGGTTCGCATCAGACAGGAGCGTGTTGATCCGCTCCCGGATAGTACGATTGGTGCGTTCAGCCAGCCCATTCTGCCCTTTGCAGTATGGCGGCGACGTGTCGAACTCAACTCCCTGGGATTCGAGGTGCGTTCCAACTGGCAGATATTCTCTCCCGTTATCGGTGAGAAATCTTCTGATCTGGGCCCCGAACTGTCGGTGCACCCAGGCCTCAAAATGTCGGAACTTCTGGAGCGCTTCATGCTTCCATCTCATGGCATAGGCCCACGAGCCACGAGAATAATCGTCAGTAAAGGTGATCACGTACCTGGAGCCATCTTTGGCCATCGGCATCTCCATGATGTCCGAATGGATCAATTCGAAAATTCTCGTTGAATGCAGACGTGGCCGTCTTGCGCGGGAGTTCCTCTTCTGATGCTGCTTACCGGACATGCACGCCGGACACTGCGGCGTTGCCAGCAGCTGCGCCTGCGTCAGCGGTCGGTACGGAGTGCCGGTCTGCCGGAGGACCACCCTCAAGTCGCCCCGGTTCAGATGTCCCATCCGAGCGTGCCACAGCGCTTCGGAGGCCTGGTCCACTCCTGTGCACACATCTTCTTCGAGTATCATAGCTTCACCACCGAGTTCAGAGGTTGACGCTGTACATTCTACGCCACTTGACTCTCGAGGATCGTCGACGTCCATGGCCACCGCCTGCGGTTCCAGGGAATCTGCATGGTCATGGGTCGTCGGCGCCCTCGCCAGTTGGACTCGCTCTCGAGATCTCTTGCTCACATGGCACCGCAGGATCAACAGATCCTCCTCCGCATGGTAGGCGGTCCCCACGGTTCGTCCTCGGCGTTGCACAAAGACGTTCTGCGGGTGCGCCACCACCGAGTAGCGGTCTCGCAACAGCTTCGGCACGCTGATCAGGTTCATCCCGACGCGCGGCGCGAAGTACACGTTCTTCAACACCAAGGGTTGGTTGAACTTCCCCCGGAGGGTGAGCTTCACCGTACCAATCCCTTCGGCTTCCACTGGATCGCCCGCCGTGTCCAACATCTCGCGGTGGGGCCGCAGACTGCTGAAGCAGCTCCGGTCCCAGCAGATGTGGCTGGTGGCGGCCGAGTCCAGGATCCACCGGGGTTGCGGTGCGTGGGTATAAAGGGTCGTCACCCTCGCCCTCACGATATTGATCCTCGGTCTCTTGGAAGTCGGCGGGCCCTGCCGATCTTCCATCTGGCTGGATGGTATCATTTGCAAATTATTCCTTGGTGAGCCGGAAACACTCCTCTCAGCCTTCGGGGCATGGTCCCTGGACGGCTGAGCTTCTCGCTGTTTCTTCCAGCACTGCGCGACCACATGGCCGCGCTTCTTGCAATAGTTGCATTTCTTGGCAGTCTGCTGCACCGTATTGACGGACGGGCCAGACATTGCCTGCAAGGGGGTTGGAGCTTCTTTTCTCCGAACCGTCTGCTCAGCATTAGACAGACGGTTTCCGATCGTGGTCGGATTCACCGGATCCTTGTCATTTTGAATGGCATCCACCACTAGAATGTATTCCGGTCCGATCTGCGTCAGTAAGATCGCAATGTGCGTTCGATCGCCAATGGATCCGGGCACGATAGCATTCAATCGATGTACGAGCAACCGTACCCAATCGACAAATTCGCGGGCACTACCGCAGCGCTCGCCAGTGGTTTCACGAAGCTGCGCAAATAACTCACAGAACGTGGCGAGCTCCATTCGCCGGTACCGTTCTTCAAGTTCATTCCAGAGGTCGCGAGACGTCTCAAGTCCCGCGACATGAATGCTAATGTGGGGGGACAGATACCGGAAAATGGTGTGGTAGGCCTCAGCTTCGCGGCGCGACCATTCACGGTGGCGCTCGAACGCCTGGACCTCCACTTCGAGGCGCGCCTCAATGGCGCGCTGTCTCACCGCCCCCGCGAGGTGCGGTTCCACCAAGGGGTGGATGTCTGCCGTAATAGGCTTGGCGTACTTGAATAAGCAATCAGAACGCTGGAGGTCGCCCGACACGACATCCCAGACCTGCCTGGCTTTTAAATAGGAGGTCATGAGACGTTTCCAGGTTGCGTAGTTATCGCTTCCTGTCAGAGGCTCGATGGCTGTGACGGCTCGGTCCGGAGAGTCATGGACCAGAGCAGACATAGTGATGATTGCGAAAGCGGGATAGATATATAATCAAGATGGTTAACGTTAAGATAATTCTCAGATGAGTAGAGATGGCACCCGAGAGTTTGCTCCCGGGCTCATAACCTGTTGTAGTTCAGGGGTATATCGTGTAATATTTATTCAGAGGGAAACATGAGGCTATATATACAACGAGAAGATCAAGTTGATTTCCAATCAACTTGGTTCTTCGTATACATACTTCGGGATTAATTCCGATGGTTCGGCTTGGTTCCTGACTGCACCAGCCTCATATCACAACAGATTCCAGCTCGAGGAAAACAGATTAAACAGATGTTCTGGGCTGCCTTCTCTGGTCTTCCTCGACGCTCTGGTCTTATACCTTTATTCGGA